ATTTGCTTATTGGAAATAACTTGGGGGGGGGGTGGAGAGATGGCTGCTCTTCCAGCGGACAAGTCCAATTCCCAGCAACGAACATGGTGGCTCTCAACCATCTATAATGAGATTTGGTGCCTTTTTCACGCAAACAGAACACTACATAATAAATCTTAAAAAAAAAAAAAAAAAAGGTAATAGTTGGTACTTCAGATTTGTAATTTGAATAAGAAAACTCAGGATTTGCTCCTAGTATTATGACTGTTTTGGTTCACATTTATTAGATTTGTGGGATCTCTGCATTCTAAGAGTTTGGTAACTACCAGTGTAATCCTACTAAAATACAAGCCTTTCTCTTTTAAGTATGCTACACAGTAATTATTACTTTGCTAATGCCAGTTATTCTAACTCATGCAAGTTTTCATGTGTACAGTTGGTAGAGTAAGAACTAACAGTAGAAATATGCTAGGACCTTTATTTGCTGACCAGGCCTTTGTCCAAGTACTCCAAGGGCCCAATATTTTTAAGTGTGAAACATTATTCTGGATAGCCAATGGCCTTGACTCATTAAAAATTCAAAATCTGCCAGGTGGTGGTGGCGGCGGCGCACGCCTGTAATCCTAGTTAGGAAGCAGAGGCAAGTGGATTTCTGAGTTTGAGGCCAGCCTGGTCTACAGAGTGAGTTCCAGGACAGCCAGGGCTACACAGAGAAACCATGTTTCAAATAAATAAATTCAAAATGTATCCCTGGAAAATACCTGATCCCAGTTTTGATTATTAAAAATATTCATTCTTAATTTTAAAGTGTGGATTGGTTGTATCATTAAAAGAAGAAAAGGGTGGCAGAGCCCTGTAAATGTACCATGCTGCTTTACTTCTCTGAAGGAGTGAGGAAAAAACTTTTACCCCAGTGGAGAAAAGATGCCGTTCTCAGTAAAATCCAGGATTATTTTGACAAAGCAGCAAAAGACTATGTGTGACTGAAAAGTGATCTAGTGCCTAATGCTGGTCAGAGAACTTGCTTGAAATGAAAGGTGTGTGGTAGATATGTTGAAGAATTTGACCTTGAGGAATGTAAAGATTAACGGTATTGACCCTCTCACTTTATTTTTCTTTTAGATTTAAGGAATCCAGAAGCAGCACTGTCCCCAACCTTCCGTAGTGATAGCCCAGTGCCTACTGCACCTACCTCTACTGGCCCTAAGCCCAGCACAACTTCTATAGTTCCTGAATTAGCTACAGACCCAGAGTTAGAGAAGAAGTTGCTACACCACCTCTCAGATCTGGCCTTAACATTGCCCACTGATGCTGTATCCATCCGTCTTGCCATCTCTACGGTAATAACCTGATAAAGTTGGAATTTATTATATATTTGCTGTTGTTCATGGTAGGGTCTAATGTTCTCCTTTCTCTAGCCAGATGCACCTGCCACTCAAGATGGGGTAGAAAGCCTTCTACAGAAATTTGCAGCTCAGGAATTGATTGAGGTGAAACGAGGTCTCTTACAAGATGATGCACACCCCACGCTTGTAACTTATGCTGACCACTCCAAGCTCTCTGCCATGATGGGTGCTGTGGCAGACAAGAAAGGCCTTGGAGAAGTAGCAGGGACTATCACAGGACAGAAACGGCGTGCAGAACAGGACTTAACCACAGTGGCTGCCTTTGCCAGTTCTTTAGCATCTGGTTTGACCTCTTCAACATCAGAACCAGCTAAGGAGCCAGCTAAGAAATCAAGGAAACATGCTGCCTCAGATGTTGATCTGGAGATAGAAAGTCTTTTGAACCAACAGTCTACTAAAGAACAACAGAGCAAGAAGGTAGGGCTCATATGGAAATGCTCACATTATGCTCAGAACTAAAGTTTTGATTTGTTACCTTTTTGACAAGGAGTAGTTCTTAGAATTAAGACAGAGCAGTGGTTCTCAACTGGAGATGGTTTTCTTCTACCTTTACCTCCACCCAATGTATGGCAGTGTCTGACTACATGGTTATCACAGTATGGGACAGTGCTGTTGGCACTGAGTAGATATAGGATCTAGAAGGTGTTAGCCAAAAAATTTGCTAAACATGCTATGGTGTATAGCATAATACCAATAAAACTGTCTAGCCCAAAATTTCAATAATTCCATTGTTAGGGAGTCCTGATTATGGAATCTATTTGGAAGAACCCTCAGAAGAAGATTAAGAGAAAAGAGAAATAAATATAGGAAGACTAGTGGAGAATACTAAATGATACTCCTTCAGACCAATTTATGGAAATCAATGAAATTATCAATACAATGGTTCTAATTAGAACTACATTGAAGTCTCATCTGTTTATGACTTCTAGTTTAGTTTTAAAATGTTTGGCTTTCCATAAGGATAACCAGTGTTTTCCCTTACAGAATTATTGAATATACTGAGCTAAACAATAGAATAGTAGCATTGTGCCTTTCTGAGTACCCAATCAATACAGATTCTCTTGAAGGGAAGTTCTACTCTTAGGTAGGTAAGATCAGCTCAATACTCAGTTGTAGAAACCAGGCTCTTTGTATTTGAGTTGATTTCTAAATGCTTATGAGGGCTGAACCCATTTTCCTACATTGTTAGCTCATTTATTTCTTAACAAATACTACTGGGAGGTAGACTTGTGGAGGTGTTTTAAGGGATAATTTATCTACAAACCCTTAAGACCAAGGCTACTTCTGTCACAGGTCAGTCAGGAGATCCTAGAGCTATTAAATACCACAACAGCCAAGGAACAATCCATTGTTGAAAAGTTCCGCTCTCGAGGTCGGGCCCAGGTGCAAGAATTTTGTGACTATGGGACCAAGGAAGAGTGCATGAAAGCCAGTGATGCTGACCGGCCTTGTCGAAAGCTGCACTTCAGGTCTCCTGGGAGGGAATGAGGTGGGGAGGGTTTTCCAGAAACAGTAATTCCTTTTTAGCATATTATCTGTCTTTGGGATAGCTATTGCGTGAGAAGGAATAGAGGCTCACTTGTAAATAAAAGGAAGATTTCTAGTCAGGCATCTGTGTCTATAACCAACAACAAAAATTAAAGTTCTCTGGAGAGAGGATAGACCTAGAGAAACCACCTGGACTTGGGGCCAGTATTTATTCTGATATAACAACCAAGGCCTTTCCTGGACTATTCTTTCCTGTAGTAGAAAAGAAAGTCTGTATTTTGTTGTTTCTGTGACAGGGTTTTGTAGCTCAGGTTAGCCAGGATGAAGATGCCTTTTCTGACCTTAGGCCTCTACTTAACCAGTGCTGGGGTTATAGGCCTAAGCCACTGCACCCAAGTCAAGTATTTATTCAGAGAACTGATACTTTAGCAATACAGAAAATTGGGGGAGAATAAGAAACCTCATATTTGATTGTATGATCTACTTATGAAGTACCATCTTGATTCTGATCCCCCTTTTTATTTTCCCAGACGGATTATCAATAAGCACACTGATGAGTCTTTAGGTGATTGCTCTTTCCTTAACACATGTTTCCACATGGATACCTGTAAATATGTTCACTATGAAATTGATGCTTGCGTGGATTCTGAGAGTCCCAGCAGCAAGGAGCATACGCCAAGCCAGGAGCTTGCTCTTACACAAAGTGTTGGGGGTGACTCCAGTGCAGATCGACTTTTTCCACCTCAGGTACCTACATGTCTAGACAGCCTAGGAAAACCCATTTCAACCTATAGACTTAAACTGAATGGGGTATCTGTACATGTAGAAAAATAAGGAATAATTTAGCAGTCTGGCTCACTGATGGGAATGGCATGGGATAGGAACACTTGAGTTAGAGGGTTTGGGACCACGAATTTGTGAAGGAAGGAAAGATGACCAAATACTACCTCATGCAGTGGATCTGTTGTGATATCCGCTACCTGGACGTCAGTATCTTGGGCAAATTTGCAGTTGTGATGGCTGACCCACCTTGGGATATTCACATGGAACTACCATATGGGACCTTAACAGATGATGAGATGCGCAGGCTCAATATACCAGTACTGCAGGATGATGGCTTTCTTTTCCTCTGGGTCACAGGCAGGTAATACAATCCACAGATATGTAGGTATGGGCAAATATAGTACAGAGTGAAAACTGGGTGGGAAATAAAGTCCTGGGTTTTCTTCAGCATTCAGTTATATGTGTTCCTGATTAAAGATGCCTCCCCACCCCCCTCCTGTGAGGCTGGTTTTCTCAGGCCTGAGATTAAAATGTTAATGATGTAGGATTCCAACACTTCCAGGGGGCTTAATATTTTACAGCACTTGGGATTCTTGATTTTAGAAAAATAGTTATTCAGATTAGATGTCGTTTAATCTTTTCATTCTTAAGATTTATTTGGGGGCTGGAGAGATGGCTCAGCTGTTAAAGGCTAGACTCTCAACCAAAAATGTAAGGTTTATTTGGTTGCCTCACTGGTGTTTTCCATGTAAATGTTTTTAATAATGAGGTTTTGAAGGGAAAAATACAGAAAGACAAGTTGTTTAACCTTTATATCTTTCTAGGGCCATGGAATTGGGCAGAGAGTGTTTGAACCTCTGGGGGTAAGTAGAAATTGTGTGTGCTTTTTTTGTTTGTTTTCTGAGGGAGATTTAACTTGAGTTCTAAGAGAGGCATGTTCCCTTCTCTCAGTATTCCTATCAGTCTTTGCCATTGTGTCTTGCACTGTGCCTCAGCTGTGAAGCTAATTACAGCTCTAGTTCTCTCTTAATGCTCCATAGCTATGAACGAGTGGATGAGATCATCTGGGTGAAGACTAATCAACTGCAGCGCATCATTAGGACAGGCCGAACAGGTCACTGGTTAAACCACGGAAAGGAACACTGCTTGGTGAGTAACAATAGTCCAGGCTGAGTAAGAGGACCTGTTTAGAAGCTGTGGTTTCATAAAGTAACAATGTTCTCTGTGATGAGCAGGTTGGTGTCAAAGGAAATCCCCAAGGCTTCAACCAGGGTCTGGATTGTGATGTGATTGTAGCAGAGGTATGTACATATCCCCCAGGCATTGTCAATACAATTACTCCTGTCAGGAATAGCCTCCAACTTTATTCATTTGGATAATTTACAGACAGGGCTAGAATTGCAGTCTTGAAGAACTTTTGAAAAATATCTTCACTTCATGTGTTAGTGTTTTACCCGAATATAATTGTTTGTGAGGGTGTTGGATCCCATGGAACTGGAATTACAGATACTTCTGTTCTGCCATGAGGGTGCTGAGAATTGAACCCAGGTCCTCTGGAAGAGCACCAGTGCTTTTAACTGCTGAGCTATCTCTCTAGCCCCGCAACCTTAACTTTAAGTAACTTGGTGTTTGTTTTCTAGGTTCGTTCCACCAGTCATAAACCAGATGAAATATATGGCATGATTGAGAGATTGTCCCCTGGTACCCGCAAGATTGAGTTATTTGGACGACCACACAATGTGCAACCCAACTGGTAACATTACTAAAGAACAGGGCAAAACTTTATAGGCAAGGACAGAAATCAGTGACTTGTAAATATTCTGGTAGTTAAGTCTATAGGTGGGCTTTTAAAGAACGCTGGAATCTTAACATTCACTAGAATCCAAAGTTTAAGGATCCTCAACTAATCTATGGGATTTATTAAATCTGCCCCCTAGTGGCTACTAAGCATTTGTTTAATCTGCCAATTTTAATGATGACTCCTATGGCTGGCATTTTAAGTTATCCAAAGATTATTCATTGACAATGACTATGAATGAAATATGCCTGACTAACCTCAGTTACTGATCTTTAAGTGTATAGATCTGCTGGATCCTGTGACAGTCTGAGGCAGAAGGATTATAAGCTTAAGGTTTCCCTAGGCTACATAATGAATTTAATTTAGTGAGATGAGATCTGTAAAAAAAAAGGGGGTGGGGCTATTCGCTGATATATCTCAGTGTTATAGTATATAAATGTAAGACCCCTAGATTCAATCCCCAGTATCTCTACCACCACCAAAGAAATAAAAATCCTGCCAGTTTTAATATCTGCATCTGTACCACTTCCTGAGTGGTCACACTGCCATATACTTCTTAATGATCTTTTTTTTAAAAACTGACATGGGCTGGGCATAGTGGAACACATCTTTAGCCCCAACACCTGGGAGGCAGAGGTAGCAGATCTGAATGGGTTCAAGGTTAGCCCTGTCTACATAGAGAGTTCCAGGACAGCCTGAGAGACCTAAAGAAACAAAACTTGGTATAAGCAGTACACTAAAGCCTTACAGGATTTTTTTTGGTTTGCCTCCTCTTGACCCCTTCCTTTTAGGATTACTCTTGGAAACCAATTGGATGGGATACACCTACTAGACCCAGATGTGGTTGCCCGGTTTAAGCAAAGGTATCCAGATGGTATCATCTCTAAACCTAAGAATTTATAGAAGCACTTCCTTATAAAGCTGAGCACTCAGCTATGGCTCTACAGGCCACATTTTAAGAGGAGTGTTTACACAACAGTGCCCCCACCCCATATTTAAATAAAAGTTTGTGTTCTAATTGGGATTTTTGAAGTGAAACTCTGGCTTTACCACTTAGCATGTGTTCATGTGCACATGAACTCTTCTCTCTGTATGATTCATTGTAAGAACTTCATTAGTTGTGAATGTTCAAATTAAATGGACATATGGAATAGCATTAACATGTGATCATTATAAATAGGACTACACAGGTTCATAGTGTTTATCAATTAGCACACCACGGACAGGATTAATTTGAATTTCACTTAGTTTTTACCAGGCATATGTTTTGCTTATTCTATGTGGCTCTACTGGTTTATTATTCTGTAGCTTATTTTTAAGAAAAATAAGATCATCTTCAGTTAAAGAAGAACCTACAATATGAAAGAACTGGCTTATGCATTATGTAAATGAAAGCGCATTTAAAAGCTATTTCATCAAACACAACTTCTTTACTTTGTAAAACTTCTCATTAAAGGTGGAGTTCTGCCTCTTACATGCAAAACTGGTAACCAAATCAGGTAAACAAAGTTTTGAATGCAGAATACTAGAATACTTTTAGTGCAAAAAAAAAAAGCCTAGCTGGGCGGTGGTGGCACACACCTTTAGGGCCAGCACTCAGGAGGCAGAGGCCAGCCTGGTCTACAGAGAGAGTTACAGGAAAACTAGGACTATTACAAAGAGGAACCCTGTCTTCAGAAACAACAAACAAACAAAAAAAAAAACCCCAAAAACAATAGTCCTGGATGGTGTTATTTTCCCTCCAGCCTAATGTGTGGAGACAGGTGTGTAGGTGTGTATAGGTAGGTGGTGGTGGTGGTGGTGATGGGTGTGTGTGATGGGGAGGGGGGGGAAACCTTAAGACAGGATCTCACTATGTATGTAATCCTGGCTAGCTTCAAACTCCTCTACCTCCCAAGTGCTGAGATTAAAGGAGAGTGTAACCATACCCAACCTCAGCCTCTGTTTTTTTGAATGCAGTCTATTATGTAAATTCAGATTGACTTTTAACTCATAGAAATCCTATGTCCACCTCCAAAATACTGGGATTAAAGGCATGGGCCACTACGTCTACAAAGCCTTTCTTCCACTTTTGCCTCATGTAGCCTAGACTGGCCTCAAACTCACTTGTGGCCAAAGATAACCTTGAACTCCTGATCTTTCTGCCTGGGGGCTGAACTCAGTTTTGTTAGTGCTAGGCCATACCCCCAGCCCAGCAAACCTTTGTTCTTAAAGCACTGTGTAGATTAATAATAGTAGCTCCCTCTTTAAAGGGAGTATTTTAAGTAGTACTTTCATTCCTCTTTAATTTGGGATTAAATTCAATGCACTTACCACTGAGCTGTAACCCTAAGCCTCTTGACCCAGTGCTATTTCCTCCTAGGGACAGAGCTAAGCACTTTCCCAATAACATTTTAAGCAAGTCCTAAAATTGAGACAATTTTACCCACACATTTCTTCTAATAACCCCCTATGGTTTGCTTCCATATTCCCTTCTCCCTTCCCTGTGCTATATAACCTGGTAAATTTGCTTATAGTCCAAAGTGAAAAACAATTCCAAATTATAGTAAATTCACTGGCTCTGCTACATAGTCTGGCCTCTGCTGAAGAAAGAAAAGATGGTGACATGAAGGAATATGGGTGTAAAGGTCAGGCACTACCAGAAGAAGCCCAGCTTGTGTCTCAAAAACAGGATCTTGGACTTTTGTCTGGTAGATGAATCTTCAAAGCTTGGAGAAACAGAAAGGCTACTTCACAAACACCACAGAGTTTGGATTTCTAGAGGCCACCCAGGCCAAGAATACATCCCTAAGAGAAGGAAAGATAATAACAAAAACTTATTACAGCCTAGATATATTCCTTAACTATCAATGAAAAAACATACCCAAACAATTCCCCCATCTCTAAAATATAACATCATTTTAGTAAACACAGGAACAAAGAATCTAAAAGTTAGAAGTAGTGACAATGCTAATCCATCATCCATTTGTTTCATGGATATAGGGAATTCCCTGGAATGAATTACTACTGTAGCTAAGTAGTAAGACTAATCTCCCCACATTTAGCATTTACTCTGCTATTTTCCCCTTACCTATCCCTTACCAATTTGTTTGGCCCAGGCAGGCTATCTTCAATTGAACTATATCCCATCCCTAAGAGATTGAACCAAGCTTTTTTCTAGTAGCACCTCTAATCAAATATCCACCTATATCTATATCTATATATATCAAGCTGCTCTACCTAAGGTAATACTGATTACATACTCAAGGTGCTCCCCAACAGACAGCTTAACTACTACTTTAATTATAAGAACTGTTTTACTCACCTGCAATGTTTCACCACACACTCATTGCTGCAGTATTCGTTGTCCCAATCCTTACTGATAACAGGAGGGTTCTCACAACCAGACCTCACACATCGAGGCTGAGGTGACAGTGTCACAGGGGATCCGCTCACCAATTCAACATCCATCTGAGAAGGAGACTCCACCTTAGAACATGGAGCAAGCAAGGATGGATTAGAGTGTTACCTACCTAGCCAAAACCATCTCACATACCAGTAGAGAAACAGGTCTCATACCCCCTCACATAAGGAGTTTCAGAAAAAGGTAAGTCCTTGGTCTTTATAACTAAGCTTTAGAGTTCTGCTAAGCAGGATAACATGTAGATTCTAAGAATTTTATTTTAAAATAATCTGTTATAAATTAAAACTGGCACACTCAGGTAAGAGAATCAGATTCAGGGCTCTCTTTGGCTGCATTGTGAGTCTATGTATCTTGGCCTACATGAGAGTCTATCTCAAACAAACAAAATACAACTGGCACAAGTGGATTTTTTTTCCCCCTTCAGAAAACAATACAGGCTTACCTCAGGAACTACATCTGTGATCATTTCACAGATTGTCTCAGGAGAGGTTGCCTCTGCTGTATGGGCCTCAGGGCTGCAGTTAAGAGGTTGCTCAGGGCTGCTTTCCACAACTGGAGGAATTAGGGCAGTCTGCATTTTCAGAGTGGGTGGAGGCACAACCTTGCTCTGCAGAGGTGGTGGCTGCTGTTGTAAATTTATTCTAACTTTCTGAGGTGGAGGCTGTTGCATGGCCTGAAGTGGAGGAGGTTGCTGCAGAATAGTGACTTGCTGTTGAGTTGGGGGCTGAGGCATCTGTTGCAATGGAGGAGGCTGTAGTCGGGGTGGAGGCAGTTGCATAGAAGCAGCAGCAGCTGCAGCTGCCTGCAACACTGACCGAGTGACAATCTGGGCCTGTTGGCTGGGCTGAATAGTAGCTGTACTTGTTTGGCCTAATTGAAGCCCACGGGAGGTAACCACTGTAGCTGGGATAACAGTAACCATTCCTCCTTGAGACATGGTAATAGAAGAGGGCAACATTTGTTTGGTGATAATCAATTTGGTAATGTTGGGCTGACCTCCAGCCCCTGAGGATGCCTGGTTTGCCACATAAGATGAAAGTGTGGAATTAACTACAATGCAAGGGGACAAAGCAGGTGACTCCGTTGAAACTGGTGCTGGAGATGCTGGGTCAGCAGTAGTTACAGGAGGTGGTGAAGGAGTCTGTGACTGTGGGACGGGATCTAATTCCACTGTTTCCACAGTAGCCTAAAAGACCAAAACAGAAAGGCAACAAGTAATTTACTCTTCACTGCAGCACACATTCATTCTTATTACATTTCAAGAAAAGATAAATAAAGGAAAAAATAAAGACTTTCTTAAATAAGCACTGGAAATAATGGATAAACTCAAAGACTATTTACAAGGCTTATGATACTGGGGAAGCTCAAATCAATTTTAACACTATGTAATAATAGGTTCCACAGGGTTTTTAAAATTTTTCTATGTGTATATGTGTTTATCTGCACATATGTGCACCATATGCATGTTTTGGGGTCAGAAGATGACATTGGATCTTCAGGAATTGGAGTTACAGATGGTCCTAAGCCACCATGTGAGTGCTGGGAAGTATAGCCAGTGTTCTTAACATGTGCCTTTCTGTGTGAGTATGTGTGTATGTGTTTGTGTGAGAGAGAGTGAGAAAGATTTACCTATAATAATATTTAAATAAATTTAGTACAGGACCAACCCAGACCCCCTGAACATGGGTGTTACTTAGGAGGACTGAACAGTCTATGGGGCCTCTGGTAGTGGATCAGTATTTATCCCTAGTATATGAATGGACTTTGGCAGCCCATTTCACATAGAGGGATACTTTCTCAGCCTAGACACATGGAGAAGGGCCTAGGCCCTGTTCTAAGGATTGGTGGTGGGGGACAGGGGAGGACAGGAGGGTTCTGGAACTGGGATTGGCACGTAAAACAAGCTTGTTTCAAATTTAAATTAAAAAAAAAATATATGAAAAAAGAATGAACACACACACACAAAACAAAAAAACAAAGAATTTGTTTAAGACATCCATTGTCACCTGACCTGACACTCCTGGTTGTCTTTATAAGCAGCTAGTGCTTTGAGATACTCTTTCTTGGCAGCTTCAGTTTTCCGCTTATATACCTAACGAGAAAGACACTGTTTCAAATAACCATATTCCCAGGAGAATCTGACAGTCTATTATTGTTCATCAGGAACTCAGTCCAACCATGGACCACTCCTTTAGTGAAACATTTGAGCAAGCAATGGCAACCTTTATGTAAAATTCACTCTACTGTCTTACTAGTCTACCTATACTTCTAAAGTGAACAGCAATCTATGTTCATTGCTATTTCAAAAATAAAATCAACTCCAAATTGTAAGATGAGTAAGTAGTCTACATAGCCCAACATTACCCAACTGAGAAACTTGTTCCCTAGGAATGTGCTAAACTGTCAAAGAGTCCTTACCTCTTATGTACCCTTCTCCCACCAAAAGCTGAAGGATATGTCCTCTTCTATTGAATCTGGGCTATCTCTCTCCGTGACTTTTTAGATCATTAGATCTAAAACATGAAAGCTACCTGAAGAAGCAACAACATGCCAACTAACATGGTGGTAACAGCCAGCTACAGCCACTATATCCTCTCATTTTGTTACAACAGTAAGAAATCCAGGCAAGAACAGCAGAAACACCAAACTAACCCAAAAGGATGAGGATGAGAATTAAAGCAGCAACAGATAACTAAAATACATTATAATAATAAATTCAGCCTTTTGTTTTTTGATATTGAGGATCTGCTTTCAAGAGAAGACACAAGCTTCTGTGGGGTAACGAAAATTTCAGCTATCTTCAATTTGCCTGCTATGGTGACTCATATCCCTCCAACCACACTCCGTGCAATACACACCTCCCAAGTGCTAGATGTGCATACCACTATTACAGTTGATTTTTTTTAAAATTCAGTTTAAATTTAGGGAGATTAACTATAGTTTAACTTTACATTTCATGAGGAGACTGTTAATGAAACTAGCTGAAACTTCATTTAGAAGGCGTATGACCTTAACTGGGCAGTGAACCTGAGTCCCATCTTTAGTGTTTTGTTTTGTTTTTTGAGACAGGGTTTCTCTGTGTAACAGCCCTGGCCGTCCTGGAACTACTTTGTTGACCAGGCTGCCTCTACCTCCCCAGTGCTTGGATTAAAGGCATGAGCCACTACACCTGGCATAGTCCATCTTTAGTAAAGAGAAGAGAATAATGGTTATTTTACAGTTCAGGAAAGATAGTGTTTTTTATAATAAATTTTTATCAATTATTTATTTTGTGTGTACACATGTATGTTTCTGAAAATGCATGTAGAGATTAGAGAACAGCTTGTAGAAGTTAAGTTTTTCCCAACCGCCATGAGGAAAATGGGGCTCAAGCACAATGACCCATCTTGCATTCCCACATGGTTTGTTAATGGATTTTCTGGGCTAGAGATTTAGCTCAGTAGAGAGCATACAGGGATAAGTAGGAGAGCTTAGGCATAAAGCCTTGGGTTTGCTACCCAATGCCACAAAAATAACTATATTAAAATGATTTTTTTCTGTAATTTCTAAGATAAAGGATGTTTGGCTGCCATTAACAAAGAGCTGACAGGTAAAAACCCGTAGTGGTATGAATAAGAATGGCCCCCATAAGTTTATGTATTTGAATGCTTAGACATTAGGAGTGGTACTCCTTCCTTGTGGGAAGGAGTGTGTCACCGGAGGCTGGCTTTGAGGTTTCAAAAGTCCAAGCCAGATCCAGTGTTGCCCTCTTCCTGCTGCCTGCAGATCTGGATATAGAACTCTCAGCTACATCTCTAGCAACCTGTCTACCTGTTTGCTGCCATGCTCCCCACCATGATGATAAGGACTAAACCTCTGAACTGTAAGCAAGCTCCAATTAAATGCTTCCCTTTATAAAAGAGTTCTGTGGTCATGATGTCTCTTCACAACAATATAACACTAAGATTCTGTCCAGTTAAAACCTTACAATTTCTACTACCCACTATTCACCTGTTTTTGCTCTTCTCCAAGACTGTCCCACATGGAAGCCACAATCTTCGAAACCTCACCAAAGGTAGCATTAGGGTTCTGTCCCTTGATGGCAGCCTGAGTATCACGAAAGAATAATGCATATGCAGAGACTGGCTTCTGAGGTTCATTAGGGTCTTTCTTTTTTCTTTTCTTGGGAGCCTTTTGCTTTTTCCCTGTTTCCACTACCACTGTCTTCTGGCTGGGAAGTTGCTGTTAGACAAAAAAAAAAAAATGGAGAGAAATAAGAAAAGGGTTTTGATAGGAATAAAACTAGGCTGGAGAGACAGCTCTACACATAAGGAGGGAAAGTAGCCACAACCATAGCATTTAAGCTAAAAATCAGAAGCAACATATGAAAGCCATATGTGAGCATCACTAAGAACATTGAGAAGAGCATTATAAACAAAATCAAGAGGTAGGAACCCACACCCAGAACCAAGTAAAGATGATAAGCATTTTACCCTAGAAAAACAGAAGAATTAATTTTGACATGGAATGTCTCACCCTTCGGAAGTCATCAACACCATCCTCATGAAGTGAATTGGTAGGTGAAGGAGTAGTCGAAAGACGATCCTCGGGTGACTGGGCAGGTGGCAAGATGGTGCTACCTCCTAAGCTCAAACCAAGTTGAGAACTTAGTTCTGACTGATCAATAGTGGTCAACTGGCTATGTCCCATTAAGCCAGATGTCATGTCTGTCATTGGTACATCAATTGTAACAGGTGGGTTGGCACTATACTGAGTTCCTATAGAATGGTCCAGGTCCTGAGAGAAGCAGAAATTTTAAGATTATCATTCTCATGTTTCTATGTTTTGCTTTTCAAATTATAAAAAAAAATTTAGGTTTTGATAAATGACCAGACAACCATTTCCTACTAAATACCCATAATGGAAACTTAATTAACAGTATTTTAGCTTTGACTAATACTAAACATTAAAATACCATCTCCAGGCTGGAGAGATGGTTCAGTGGTTAAGAGTACTGACTGTTCTTCCAGAGGCCCTGAGTTCAATTCCCAACAATATGGCTCACAACCATCTGTAATGAGATCTGGTGCCCTCTGCTGGCATGCAGTCATACATGCAGGCAGAATACTGTACACACAATGAATAAATCTAAAAATATATATATAAATAAATAAATAATAAAATACCATCTCCCCCTCCTTATAAATCCCTGGCTTATGTAGACCATCATCATTTAAATCCTATAGAACATCAGATACTTTGTCTATAAAAGAAACCATGTTAGGAGGTCAAGCACAGTGGCACTTGGCTTTAATTTCAACACTCAGGAGAAAAGAGGAAGGGGATAAAATTCTCTAAATTCTCTGTAAGCTGAGGTTAGCCCAATCGACATATCTGAGTTCTAAGTTCATAGTGAGACCCTGTCTCAAAAACAAACAGAAAGAGACAAATAATCCATTTAGTATAATCTGTGGGTAGTGACAACATACAAACCAAACCCTTCTAGAATAGGGTTTAAAGTTGTAATGCATGGCAATGAAAGCAGAGAAGCTGCAGTGGAGACAGACGCCTGCCACCAACACATGAGATGGAAATGCTGAACACTTACAAAAACCGAGTCTGTAATTAGGGCTCTATTTGGTTCAGCCCATTTTTTAAAATAAATCATTCAATGTGCCACTTACACATTTGAATTCCAGAATGTGAAGGCTATTACAAAAAAACAAAACCCTGGGCAGTAGTGTGGCGCATGCCTTTAATGCCAGCAATTAGGAGGCAGAGGCAGGTGGATCTCTGAGTTCGAGGACAGCCTGGTCTACAGAGAGCTACACAGAGAAACCACCCCATCTTGAAAAAACAAAAAAAACTTTTTAAAAAACTTTGAATCATTTTCATTTCAAAATATTCAAGTTAACACTGAATATTTTACAACTTAAAATTATTTTTCAAGAAAATCTCATTTATTTAGGTAAAATGAAGTCTTTGTTGTTGAGCTTCTATAAGAATAAGAAACTAGTACTACCCAAGTTTAGCAGGGAATAGAGATTAACTTTTGTCCTTCTAAACCCATTCCTATTGAGTTTGGGTGAGCCTGCCGATGTGTCTTTCCTTACCATAGTCAAGCCCCCACTCAGGAGCCCCCCACCCTGCTCCATCAAGCCGTGAGTCATGCCCACAGGCATGTCCAATGTCTGAACTCCATATTGAGCTGCAAAGCTGCCATCCTGTGAAGAAGAGGGGTCTGCCAGGTCATCAAAGTGTCCAACCACATCTGAGACAGCCAGGGAGGGATCAGAATCCAAAGAGATAGGTGGGATTTCAAATTCCTCATCGCCCAAGCTTGGTGTATGGAATGTCTGTGTGAAAAAAAGGGAAGAATTAGTAGGAAGAGGAGAAACTGCATGTCCCTAAGACAGGCCACAGCTGAGCACAATCGAGAATCAGTGTGCTTCTGTTTGGCTCTGTTCCACTTTGTAACTGACTCCACAGAACACAATTTATAAACAAACATCTTTTTAGCCTTTCTAATCTTTCTAATCTTTACTACCTTTGTCTTAAATTATTTCTAAGGAATACTAGTCTTTCAATACAAGTAAGGAAACAGCCTATGGTGCTTAACATCCCACTTGACAGATACTATTAGACACCAGTTATCTTACAATGTTATACTTTAATTTTTCAGACCACAGAAATTAATAGCTGATCAGCCAATCACACTTTATTGTTTTAGGTTCCTCTGGATTAAATCCTATACAATACTGTCATAGAAAACTTACCTACCTCTAAAACATTTGTACTTAGCTGGATGGTGGTGATGGTGGCATACAGCTTTAATCCTGATACTTGAGAGGCAGAGGCAGGCAGATCTCTTAGTTCAAGACCAGCACGGTTTACAGAGTGAGTTTCAGGACAGGCTCCAAAGCTACACAGAGAAATCCTGTCTCAAAAAAGGGAAAAAAAAAAAAACACTTAAGACATCTTAAGTGGGTATGGTGGTACACGGCTTTAATCCCAGCACTCAGGAGGCAGAAACATGGGGTTCTCTGTAAATTCAAGGCTAGCCTGGTCTACAAACAGAGTTCCAGGACAGCTAGGGCTACAGAGAAACCTTGTCTCTAAAAACAAAAACAAAACATTGTTTTATAAATTTCAGTGTTGACAAGATTATCATCTGTATAGGATTTAAAGGATTTGGGAGTCCAATAATATCAAGCTACAAAGTGAATTTGAAGCCAGCCTAGCTTACATAGCAACAACTTGCCTAAAAATAAAAAGTAAACAAAAGAAGAAAAAGATTAGTGCACCTGGCTCAATTGTCCTCTCTGTAGTCTGACTAACGATAATCAGTCTTCTGGTTTATTGTATTTTTTCTCCCCCTTTTTCTTTCTTTCGTTCCTTCCTTCCTTTCAAGACCTGGCAAGTCTCCTGACTGCTGGAATTAAAAGTGTGTACCACCACACCCAGCTTCACTCCTATTGGGAATGGGGCCAATATTCACAGAACAGCAGTGTCTAACTTAAGATGTATTTGACACTTTCCTTGTGCCACTAAAAAACTAAAACAGAAGCATATAGCAACAAAGTATTATAAGTAATAAGTGAGAGGCTTTATAGAAAGACCTGTGGCTCATCTCTGCTCATAACCTTGAGCAGGTTTTCCTTATCTATAACAACAGAAATTGTAAGTCTGCAAAGTGATAAACACCTGTAATTTCAGCATGCAAAAGACTGAGCCACGAGATTACCATAACTATCAGGCCAGGCTGGGCTATATAGTTAGTGCCAGGCCCTAAATCCAATGAAAGACCCTATCTTAAGAAAACAAAAATAAGCTGCATGTGGCCACAAGTACTTTTCATCCTAGCACTCCAGAGCAAAGGAAATGTACTCAGTCTAAACTATTGCCAAGCTCTGGGCTTTTTGTGGAGGAAAGATCACTTTGGGAGTTATGTTTATAAGAAGGATGCCCAGGACCTAGTAAGATGGCTCATGGGCAAATAAAGTGCATGATAGCAAGCTTAACAACTTGAGTTCAATCTCTGGGCCCCAGTGGCAGAGGAAGAGAACCTACTTCTTACCACTAACCCTTTTGGGCAATCATGCATGCTTGCATGTGTGTGCATATGCCTGCAAGTGCATGTGCGTGTGACAGTAAGAGAGAGAGAACCCACATAGCAAATAAAATGTAATACAATTAACATAAAAATAAAGGATGCTTAGATACTGAGTGAAGGAGGGACAGGAGAGATGACTGCAGAGGACTGGGGCTCAGTTCTCACCACCGACTTTGGTGGCTCACAACCACCTTTAACTCCAGGGCTCAAACACCTTCTGTCCTCTGCATGCACACATACATCAAATGATTTTGAGAAACTATTTCTCGCCTCTTTTCATCTTCTCTCTGTTTTCTATCATCTTTCATCTGCTTGAACCCAGAGCCTAACAAATACTAAGCAAAACACTAAACTGACCCCATATATCAACCATCCATTATTTAAAAAAAAAAAGTTTACTGGAGATAGAGTGATGGTTCAGTGGTTAAGAACACTGGCTGCTCTTCCAGCACCTACATAGTGGCTTATAACTTTAACTCCAGTTCCAAGCGATCTCATACCCTCTTCTGACTTCCAAGGGCACCAAGTGTGTTGTGCACAAATATACATGCAGGCACAACAGCCATACATATAAAATTTTTAATTAAAAAAAATTTCTTGTATATTCATTTTAAAGAAACTGACTTTAACACCTAATTTATCCTATAATGTAATTATTATAGATCCTTAAAATTATTTTTAAAGCTGGGCAGTGGAAGCATACACCTTTGATCCCAGCACTCAGGAGGCAGAGGCAGGTGGATCTCTGAGTTTGAAGCCAGCCTGGACTATAGAGTGAGTTCCAGGACAGCCAGAACTACACAGAGAAACCCTGTCTCAAAAATATATATTTTTATATGTATATAAAGAAATAGAATACAGGGCTGAAGATGTCTCAGCAGTTGAGAGCACTGACTGCTCTTCCAGAGAACCCAGGTTCAATTCCCAGTTCAAACATGGCAGCTCACAGCTGCCTGTAACTCCAGTTCCAGGAGACCCTCACAGACATACATGCAGGCAAAGCATTAATGCACATAAAAAAAGGACGGGAGGAAGGGAGGAAGGAAGGAAGGGAGGAAGGGAGGAAGGGAGGGAGGGAAGGAAGGAAGGAAGAGAAAAAAAAAAACAGAATACAATGGGCGTGACAGTGCACTTACAATCCCAGCACTTACAGTGGTTCTCAACCTTACTAATGCTGCAATCCTCATGTTTTGGTGACCCCAACCAAATAGTTATTTTCTCTCTCTCTCTCTCTCTCTCTCTCTCTCTCTCTCTCTCTCTCTCTCTCTCTCTCTTTTTTGAGACAGGGTTTCTCTGTAGCTTTGTAGCCTGTCCTGGAACTTGCTCTGTAAACCAGGCTGGCCTCTAACCTGCCTCTGCCTCCCGAGTGCTGGAATGAAAGGCGTGCACCACCAATGCTTGGCTTATAAAACCATTTTCACTGCCATTTTGTAACTGTAATTTTGCTACTATTATGAACTGTAAAAGGGCTGGTCAACCCCCAAAGGGGTCCAGACCCACAGGTTAAGACCCACTGAACTGGTAGAGACAGAAGGATTAGGAAAGTCAGCATCATCTTCAGCTACATGGGGAATTGGAGGCCAGCCTTGGCTTTATGAGACCCTATCTCATAAACCCAAACAATGAAACAGAAAAGAAAATTCAGACATGATCTCATTATGTAGTATTAGCTGGCCTGGAGGGCACAAAACTGTCCCCTCTGCCTCCTGAATGCTGAGATTAAAGGTGGTAGTCAAATACAAAGCACGCTATGTACCTGCCAACTCAACGGAGAAACAGAAGACTAATCGTCACATCACATAAGCTTCCTATCTGAAGCAGTGCAGTAATTAATACTACTCCTTCCTCTCTGACACTCATTCTTTTAAAAAGAAATTGTTCATATACCTAGTGGCAATTTAGATGGACTCTTTGTGAATTGACTGTTTAAAACTTCTGTTCATTTTCAAACTGTACTACTGCTTTATATATTCTAAATATGAGTTACACGTATATATTATAAATACCTTCTCTTCTGGAGCTCCTATTTGTTAATAATGTCTTTAAATTTTTTTCAGAATCTCATATGTGAAATTCTGCACATGTAATTACAATGTATTTGTAAATACAAATTTTTGGGGAGAGGGTTCTAAGACAAGAGTTTCTCTGTGTAACAGTCCTGGCTGTCTTGGAACTCACTTTGTAGATCAGGCTGGCCTTGAACTCACAGAGATCTGCCTGTCTCTGCCTTGAAAGGGCTAGAATAAAGGCTTTTGCCATAACACCTGTTAAGATTTATGTTATATGTATGAGTATATATCAGCACCACATGCGTGTCTAGTGATCACAGAGGCTAGAAAAGGGAATCAGATCCCCTAGAACTGAAGTTATAGATGGTTGTGATCCATCACGTGTGTGCTGGAAATTAAACCTGGGTCCTCTGCAAGAAGATATGATTTAATTTCTAAGCAATCTCTTCAGCCTTTATGTCATTAAAAAAAAAAAAAGCAATACTTATTTTTACTTACATAACTGTATGTTTTGCCTGCATGTATGCCTGTGTTGTGTGTGTGTAGTGCCTACAGAGGCCAGAAGAAGAACTAGTTCCAGGCGCCTTTGTCCTGTCATGTGGGTGCTAGGAACTGAATCCAGGAACTCTGTAACAGCAGTCAGTGTTTTAACCACTTATCCATCTCTCCAGCCCCTATAATGATGTCTTTTGATATAAAGAGTTCCTAATTTGAACACAATTGAATTTTTCAGTTATTTTATGGTTGGTATGCTATATGAGCAGCTATTGTTCTTTTTGGAAAAAGAAAAAGAAAAAAGGAAAAAGATAACTCTGAAAAACTACTGTTCTTCAAAAAAGGATTGCTTAAAAAAAAGTAACCATCTCCCTCTTTTAAGTTATACACACGGCTCGAAATAAGACTGAAGACAACAAAACTCATTCACCCATTAATATAAAGATTAAAACCCAGGCATGGTGGTTGGTGTACACACACTTTTAATTCCAGCATTCAGGAAGCAGAGGCAGATAAAAAGCAGAGGTCACATAGCAAGTATGCCCTCCAACCAAGACTGCACAGTGGAACCGCACCCCCAAAGCAAAACACAAAAGCCATACAAGTTAAAAATTCACCAACAAGAGGGGTAGAAATAATAAGGTATAAAAGTTGTAAATAAACAAGCCAGGCAGTGTTGGTCTACACCTTTAATCCCAGCACTTTCAGGGCAGAGGTGGTCAAATCTAACAGCTCGAGGCCAGCCTGGTCTACAGAGTGAGTTCCACCATAGCCAAGGCCACACAGAGAAATCTTGTCTCAAAAAATAGAAAAAGAAAAAGGAAACCCAAAACAAAAGTTGTAAGTAAACGATAACAGAACCTAGACCTAAAGGAAGCTAAAGAAAGTAGCTGTGTGTCCCCTCCTCTCACTAAAAATGAAGAGCAGATGCAAGCCTGGAAATTTCCTTCTTTTCGCTGTCAGTGCTGGAGATCAAGGGTCTGGAACATAGCAGGTAAGAGCTCTACTACCTACTCCTAGTTCCCTGGTACATGTAAAAGGTGCCATCTCTCATGTAACTACTTTTGACTATTCAATTTCATAAAAGGGACTGGTGGGATGAATATGAAAATGTGTTTTGTTTTGTTTTGAGACAGGGTCTATGTAGCTCCAGCAGTCCTGGAAAATCACTATGTAGACCAGGCTGGCCTCAAACTCAAAAGAGATACACCTGCCTCTGCCTCCCAAATGCTGGGATTAAAAGGGTGTACCACTGCCAGCTTGTATTTGCTTTTAAAATGCCTTTTCCTAAGAATAAAGACAAGGTGAGATTTATGGCAATGACATTAAACCATGGAGACCTCACTTGGAAGGAACAAGTGTAAGACTGAGTTTCTTTCCAATTCTGCCACTCATCTGAGTCACACTTTCCCCTGCTTAGACTATTCCATAACTGTAAATTAAAAAATAAATTAGCAACCTGGCGGTGACGGCAAATGCCTTTAATCCCAGCACTTGGGAGGCAGATCTCCAACTTTAAGGCCAGCCTGACCTATATAGTGAGTTCCAGGACAGCCAGAGCTACATGGTGCAACTGTCTTTAAAAAAAAAAGAAAGAAAAATAAATAAACTAGCAACTATTACTCACCATCAATCTATGTCTCAACAAAACAGTAATCAACAACTTTTGGTGCAAAAAAGAAATGCAAAATATTCACATTGCTTTGGGGAATATAATCCTCAAAAGAAGTCCAACGTTCAATTTCTCAAAAAAAAAAAAAAAAAAAAAAAAAAAAAAAAAACAATGGGGGGGATTTTCATACACTGCACTTTTTACTTTGCCAAAATAAGGGTTTCCATTATAGTAGGAAAATATGCCAACCCAGTTTCCTGGAATATCTTAGAGCAGTTGTTTTCAACCTTCCTAATGCTTCAACCCTTTAATACAGCTCCTCATGTTGAGGTGACCCCCAACTCTAAAATTATGTTGATGCTACCTCATTAACTGTAATTTTGCCACTGCTATGAATCACAACGTAAATTCTAGTATGTGACCCTTGTGAAAGGGTCGCTCGACTCCAATGGGGTTGTGACACAGTGGTTGAGAACCGCTACCTTACAGTCTCCAACAACCATTATTTCTACTTCACACCATCTTTAAACAGCAAAACAAGCAGATATCTGTGATTCGAGGCCAGCCTGGTCTATAGAGCACGAGCTCCAAAGTTATACAGAGAAACCACGGTTGGAAAAACAAAAGAGGCAAAACAAAACAAATCCTATTATTGTAGTTATTTGACAACTGTGATCCCAAAGTGAATCAATCTGCTCAAAGTTTATATTCACTGGCAAACAGGTATACTCTATTCCTTTTATGTTCTCTGGCGGCTATTTCTTTCCTTCGTTGGTAAAGCGAGCAGAAACCACGTTGGTGAAAATGACCACTTCAGAGTTCAAGAACCTTCCCGAGGTTAACTCTTGCTAGATGAACTATTTTCCTATCAGGTTTTCTTTACTGAAAAAAATTTTCTCCCTTGCTATCTCCCAAAATGGTTGCAACTACTTCATCCGAACCAAAGCAGACAATTCCACTCCATCTCCGGATTCAGAACCGGACTCCTTCCTTAAGTAGGCAGTCTCCAATTGGTTTTCTGATGACAGCCGCTTGCCATCCGTCTCCCCACCCCACCCCCGACAGTCCTCGGAGGCTCTGGAAGCCTCGGCCACTGTCCTCTCCAGCTCCCGGCCGCCCCCGCGCTCTCCCCCACCGTCCGGCCCCAACCGCTGCCCAGGCCCTTCCGCGCCCGAGCGTCGGCAGCTTTTGCTCACCTCGGCCCCTGACAGGAAGGGATGAGAGGGCCCAGTGATCGTCAGGTAATTGTCATTTCCTCCGGGAAACTGTAAACCAAAAACAGCCACGGGGATAAGTGAGCGAAGCAGGGGCGCGCGGGGACCCCGGACCTCCCAGCACCCCCGAGCGGCCCTCGCTCCCCGCTGCCCGGCTTCCTGCTTCTGCTTCCATCTAGTCGGCCGCGCTGCTCGTCAACCCTCCAGACTCTGCGCCTACCTCCATCTTCACGGCACCACTACCAGCGTCTCAGCGTCCGCATCGCTCCCACCGGCCCCACTGGGTTCCGAATGCGTCACTTCCTCAAAGAGGAGCGTCGCTCTCTGCTGATTGGAGGGAGTCCTGGCCGAACCAGTCGCGTTCCGAGCTGCCCGAAGGCTCGCTGTCGCCCCCTGGAGCTTGGTGGGATAATGGCATATAGAAGAGCGCGGGGCGGCCCTAGAGGCGGCGTCGGGTACTCCGAATCCAGCGAGGATTTCTGGGGAGAGCAATAGAGACGCGGCCTGAGCTAGAAGGGCTGGAGCGGAGGCAAATAAGGAGATCGGTAGATTGAGTGGCTAGAGAGGTCGGAGGTAAGTGGCTGTAGAAATCAGGCGGACCCGGAACACAGACGCCTCGGGACCATGACTTATGCTTATCTCTTCAAGTACATCATCATCGGAGACACAGGTAGCCGCCGGAGGACCGCCTGCGAGGCTGGGGCGGGGATCCCACCTCCAAAATCGGCCTGGGGGCGGGGCGGGACGAGGGGGCCGGGCGAGCGGAGTTGAGCGGAGGGGGCGGGGCGAGCTCCGGGGGCGGGGCTGTCTTTCCTTAGACCCTGTGCCCGGCCTGGGAGCCAGCCGCTTCCCGGGTGGCGCGTCTAGTCCGCACCGTCCTTTTTCAGGTGTGGGGAAGTCATGCCTCCTCCTGCAGTTCACCGATAAGCGGTTCCAGCCTGTGCACGACCTCACAATAGGTAAGCGTATCCCCTCGTTCCAGAACATATAAAAGCTGGCTGGCTGAACTGCTGAAGGAGGAAGTTAACAGTCTCAGTATTCTAAGTAAAAAGTTACGCCTCCCTACCTTAGTCCGAAGCCATGCTATATGAAAAGTGATAAAAGCTGGTAAATAGAGGGTAAATAATTGAAAGGTAACTTTAGAGATGGATGTGAGATAAACATTAGTTGCCATAGGAATTTTTTCTTCAAATGCAACTTGTATGTTTATGAAAAAATTCCACGTAAACACAACTGCTTATTCAGAAACTCATCTGTACTTTGTGGTTAACTACCAACGTAATGTATTTCGAAGTAAACATTGACATACGACTCTTTTTGTGTTGGAGAGGGGAAAGCCAATGTAAGAGTCATCCCCAGTCCTTCTCCTCTCCGCCCTCTTTGTTTGAGACAAGTTCTGACTATATAGTCCAGGGTAGCCTCAGATTCACTCTATATTCCACACTGGCCATGAATTTCCAGATATCCTCCTGCCTCAGCCTCCAAGTGCTGTGATTAGGGGCATGCACCTTAATTTTGTTTTTTGTTTGTTTGGAAGACTGGCTTTGTACCCCATGTGTAACCTGAAGATGATCTTGAACAGGTCTGCATCTTACTGCCTCCACCACATAAATGCTGGGATTAGATGTGCTCAGTCTGTTTTGTTTGCTTGTTGATGTTTTGGTTTATTTATTTATTCATGTATTTTATGTATATGAGTGCTCTGTCTTCATGCACACTAGAAGAGGGCATGAGATCCTATTACAGATGCCTGTGAGCCACCTTGTTGGTGCTGGGAATTGAACTCAGGACCTCTGGAAGAGCAGTGAAGTGCCCTTAACCCCTGAGCCATCTCTCCAGCCCCAATGTTTTAGTTTCTTACTCATTGAAATTACATTCTTAACTTTTCTGAAAGAAAGAGAAATTGACTGACTTTTTTTCAAAAAGTAGCTTTTGTTTTTTATTGAGGTAACAGGCAGAAGCAATTTTTATATCTGTCTTATAGGTTGTAGCACCTTAAAGTAGAAATATTCTATGTAGGGAGAGGATATCTACATAGGATGACTGAATTGTCATTACTTGTGCTATGTCCAAAATACTGTATAAAAATAGAAAAGGGGAGGAATTGTCTGACATATGATGCAACATTTTTAACATGACTGTTTTTGAAATACTGTCCTTGAAATGAATTTTACCTTGAAATAGAAGTATGCCAAAAGTCTTATCAGTTTGCCAGTTTCCAAACCTCTTTGAGATAGGCTATTTCTGGTGAATTCTGAGAATTACTAGTGAAGATCTCTTGTCCTTGAAGACCTGTTTCCGTCTTCCTTTTTTCTTATTTTACATATCCATCCCAGTTCCCTCTCCCTCCCATCCTCCCATGCCCCCCTCCACCCAAAGAGAAGATCTGTTTCTTAGGCAACTTTCTTTCTTCCTTTTTCCTTCCTTTCTTCCTTCCTTCTTTCCTTCCTTCCTTTCTTTTGTGGTTTTTCAACACAGGGGTTCTCTGTAAAACAGCCTTAGCCATCCCAGAAGTTGCTCTGTAGACCAGAATGGCCTTGAACTCACAGAGATCCACCTGTCTCTAGGCAACTTTCTTAATTGCAAATGAAAATAATTTCAGAATTACAGTAAAGAAGTCCTGCTTTATACACAGAACTAGTGGGCATTCTGAGACACTGCCAAGTCTTTCAAGGGGGCTGGAGGGATGACTCGTCAGTTAGGTGCACTGGCTGCTTGCTCTTCCAGGGTTCAATTGCCAGAACCCAAATGGAAACTCATGGCAACTCATAACCATCTGTCACTCAGTTCCAGAGGGATCTGTTGCCTTCTTCTGGCCTCCACAAGTACTAAGCACACATGTAACACACATACTTACATGTAGGTAAAACACTTATATTCATAAAATTTTAAAAGCCTAAAAAAGAAAGAAAACAAAAAGAAGGAGGAGGAAATACTGGGCTGGAGAGATGGCTCGGAGGTTAAGAGCACTGGCTGCTCTTCCAGAGATCTTGAGTTCAATTCCCATTAACCACATAGTGACTCACAACCATCTATAATGAGACCCAGTGCCCTCTTCTGGCACACAAACATACATGCAGGCAGAACACTGTATATAATAAATAAATAAATCTTTAAAAAAAAAAAAAAAGAAGGCTGGGCATTGGTGACACAAGCCTTTAATCCCAGCACTCGGGAGGCAGAGGCAAGCAGATCTCTGTGAGTTCTAGGCCAGCCTGGTCTACAGAGTGAGTGCCAGGACAACTAGGGCTACACAGAGAAACCCTGTCGTCTCAAACCAAAAAAAAAAAAAAAAAAAAAAAAAAAAAAACAAAAAAAAAAAGAAGAAGAAGAAAAAAAAGTACTTTCAAACAGTTTAGAAATTCTTTGAATTACATATTACATAGTCAGATTTTAGTATACACTAACATTCTTAAGAATTTATCTACGTCTTGGGGGGCACAAGCATCTATAATGAGATCTGGTACCTTCTGGTGTGCAGGCAGAGCACTGTATAAATCTATAAAGATTTATTTATTTTATGTGCATTGGTGTTTTGCCCACATCCATGTCTCTGTGAGGGTGTCGGATCTCCTGGCACTGGAGCTACAGACAGTTACGAGCTGCATGTGGATACAGGGAATTGAACCCCAGGCCCCTGAGAGAGCAGCCAGTGCTCTTGACTGCTGAGTGATCTCTCCAGCCTCAAATAAATGAATCTTTAAAGAAAAGAAGAAAAACTTTACTGCCTTTCAGTTTTATTTTTCCTAGAATTGTAAGTTTTCTTTCTCAATCTTTTTCTGTGAATTGTAGCTTTACAATGGAAACTGCTTATCACAAAACTTCCCTACAGTGGCTGTACTTTCACTCTTGTTTTTCATTGAGAAGGTTTTTCTGTGTAGCTTTGAATGTCCTGGAACTTGCCTTGTAATGGGTACAAGTTCTCCAGACATTATTTGCAAATTGTTTGAGTAACTGCTCTGGGTTTGCTTTTTGTTTGGTTACTTGGTTGTTTTTTTTGAAACAGGATTTCTCTGTCCTGGCTGTCCTGGAACTCACTAAGATCTGCCTGCCTCTGCCTCCCAAGTGATGATATTAAAGAAAGGCATGCTCCACCACCTCCACCCAACATCTGTCACTTTTCTTAAGGCTAATAAAAGATAATCTAGAATCTTAGTCATCATTATAAGGTCTTATATATAATAAATCAACTGATTGTGTTATTACCAGAATTTGTAAAACCAGACCTAGGGAAAGAACTAGCCCTGGGGACATATACGTGTTCTTTTCTGTCCCCGCTTAGGTTTATTTATTTTTATTTGTATGTATATGCATATCTATTTGTACATGTGTGCACAGGTCTTGGCAGGGCCCAGAAATTGTTGAGTTCTCTGGAGCTGGAGTTACAGGTGATTGAGAATTGAGAGCCAGCACAGTAGCCAGTGCTCTTTCTTTTTTTTTTTTTTTTTTTTTTTTTTTTGGTTTTTAGAGACAGGGTTTCTCTGTGTAGCTTTGGAGACTGTCCTGGAGCTAGCTCTTGTAGACCAGGCTGGTCTCGAACACAGAGATCCTCTTGCCTCTGCCTCCCGAGTGCTGGAATTAAAGGTGTGTGCCACCAGTGCCCAGCTCAGCCAGTGCTCTTAACCACTGAGCCATCTCTGTAGCCCTCTAGGGTCTTAAAAAAAAAAAAGATTTATTTATTTTCAATTATACAGTTCTACCTGCACACAAGCAGAGGATACCAGATCTCATTATAGATGATTATGAGCCACCATGTGGTTGCTGGGAATTGAATTCAGGATCTGTGGAAGAACAGCCAATGCTCTCAAACACTGAACCATCATCTCTCCAGCCTTGCCCTCCGGGGTCTTAATACAGTAAATTTTGCCCTGATCATAAAATCAGAACAGTGAGAATATTTGTATTTTTTTTATTTTAATTAGAATTTATTCCCTTATCTACATTTGGATGTATTATCACTTAGAATCCACTTATTTATTTTTGGTGCCAGGGACTAAACCAAGAGACTTAAATCTTTTGCAGTTGCACTAGCACTGAATTATACATACAGCTGTAGAATGTGATTATTTTTTTTAACCTGAACCTCAGGCCAACCTTGAGTTTATTATACAAGTGATGATGATCTTGAACTCCTGATCCTAGTACTCCTATTGCCTCCCCCTCTTTGAGAGCTGGGATCTCAGGCATGACTGCCATGCCCAGTTAAGGGGTTTTGGGGTGTGTGTGTGTGTGTGTGTGTGTGTGTGTGTGTGTGTGTGTGTGTCTGTCTGTCTGTCTGTCTGTCTGTGTCGCATATTCCAGGAAAGGGATCCCTGGAGCTACAGGCAGTTATGAGCTATCTGATGAGGGGGTTAGGAACCAAATTCCAGTCCTCTATAAGAGCAGCACATATTTTGCTTTTACTGCTGAGCCATCTCTCCAGCCTCGTGCTCAGTTTTATTTGGTTCTGGGGATTGAATCCAGGTACTCATGCATGCTAGGCAAATACTTTATCAAGGGTGCTACATCCCCCAGTGTCCATGGATTTTTAATTCTAGAAAAGAAACCAAAGGAACACAATCTTAGTTGAGCAGTAAGTAGCTGTAATGAGCTGAAAGTCAGTGAGTGAACACAAAGGAATCATTATAACCCTTTGGGGAAAAGTATGAGTTTCCAGATTAACATGCATGTGTTCATGACAGTCATATCCCTTCTTTTGGCCTTCACTGACAGGGGTGGAGTTTGGAGCCCGTATGGTCAACATTGATGGAAAACAAATCAAACTGCAAATCTGGGATACGGTAAGAGAAGGCAAAAATAATTTAATACTAGACCAAGATCCAGTTATAGCAATAAAAGCTAATGTAGCCACGTGTGGTGCTACACACCTGTAGTTTTAAAACTGTAGGATGAGGCAAGAAGCTGAAAGGTCAAGCCAGAAGGGATTACATACTAAGATATTCAAGTCAAAAAAAAAATTCATTTTTTTTTTTTTTTATTTTAAATGACTCAATTTTGAGGGGGCAGTGGTGACACAGGCCTTTAATTCCAGCATTCAGGAGGCAGAGGCAGGTGAATCTCTGTGAGTTTGAGGACAGCCAGGGCTATACAGAAAAATCTTGTCTTGAAAACTCCCCTAAAAAAAGAGACTCAATACAGTAAAAAAATAAATAAATAAAAAATAAGACCATTTTCTATCCCCCACTGTTGTTATTCTGCCAGAGGGATCCACTGTTAATGATTCAGTGTATATGCTTTCGGACTTCTGTGCATTTAAATTCATAAATAGACATTTTGCACACCTTTAATCCCAGCACTTGACTTTGGATGCAGAGACAAGCAGAATCTCTGTGTTAGAAGCCAGACATGCCTACATAGTGAGTTCTAGGCCAGCCAGACTACAGAGAGACCTGTCTATAAATAAGTACAAGTATATGGTTGAGTTTTTCCAAAGACTTTTTAAAAACAAATATTTATTTAATGCATGTGAGTGCTCTATCTGCATTATGACTTTATGCCAGAAGAGGGCATCAGATTCCACTATAGATGGGTGTGAGTTACCATGTTGTTGCTGGGAGTTGAGCTCAGGATTCTAGAACAGCAGGGCTCTTAGGTGCTGAGCCATCTCTCTAGCCCTTTCCAAAGACTTTTAACAACTTCTTTATTACTCGTGTATGGTGGTGGTGTATGCATGCAACCTGGTACATGTGGAGTGGTTCTCTTTCAGCCTGTCTGTCAGGTTTGCATAACAAGTGCTTTGCTCACTGAGCCATCTTACCAGCCTGAGATTTTGTTTTCGTTAGTATTTACATGTGTAGAACTAGGACAAGAGTAAACATAACTATGCTTTTTCTATAGTAGTTTCCATATTTCCAAGACTTCAATATCAGTAAATACAGATCTGTCTCACTTCTTTTAACAGCTACCTAGTCACAAAAGTGTGTGTGCATTGATAGACATTTAGGTTATCCCTAAATGTCTTCATTGAACATTCTTATTTATTAAAATTCTATGCAGATGTTTGAGAATTAAAATTCTAGGGCTAAAGTTGCTTGTATTTTATTTATTTGTTTTTAGGGTTTTGTTTGTTTGCTTGCTTGTTTTGAGACTTGCTTGTATTTTAAAATTTAGTCAGTGAAATACTATCAAAGTTTGGCTTGGCTTAACAAATTTTTGTCTAATCGAGAGAAATTGCTTTTGTGTGCAATATTTCATTTATACTATTCTTTCCTCAAAGGCAAATATTGTAGTCTCTATTCTAGTTTAAAAGAACTAGAAATAATTCATAATATTTACCTAAAATCATTCCCTGTCTTGAGTTCATTGCCACTATTTACCAACTACATATTGCAATTCCGGTTTTATTATATTTAATTTTTGTATTTCTACTAATGGGAACCCCACACACCCCCAAGAGGTCAAGATATAAATTCTTACAAGCAGAGGGTGAAGCCAGTGGGTATAAAGACCAGTATAAGTTAGTTCCTACTTCTTTGACTTAAGTTAATGTTATTTAATTTTTTCTTTTTAGAGACAGGACCTCAGATAGCCCAAGTAGCTATGTAGCTAAGGATAACCTTGAACTCCTTATCCTTCTGCCTCCACTTTCAAATTTTGGGATTACAAGGTGTGTGCCACCATGTCTGTATTTAAAGAAAAATACATGTTTTAGTGCCAAGAATAAAAGTTTGTAGATGCCAGTTAGTATGGTCAGGGCCATGTTTTTGTTTTTTTGTTTTGTTGTTTTGTTTTGAGACAGGGTTTCTCTCTTATGATACTGGCTGTCCTGGAACTTATTCTGTAGATCAGGTTGGCCTTGGCCTTGAACCCACGTAGATCCACCTGCCACTGATTCCTGAGTGGGCTTTTCTTTTTTTCTTAAGTGCTGACATGAAAAATGGTTTGGTCATGAAAAAAGTTTAGAGCCACAATTATATGTTATATGGATAGGATCTTTAAGAAATATGTGTCAGGGCTGGAGAAATGGCTCAGTGGTTAATAGCACTGGCTGCTCTTCCAAAGGACATGGGTTTAATTCTTGACACTCAAATGGCAGCTCACAACTGTCTGTAACTCTAATTCCAGGGGATCGAGCACACTCAAACAGACATCTATGCAGGCAAAACACCAATGTGCATAAAATAAAAAGAAATGAATCATTTAAAAATAAAAGAACTACATGGCAAGCTTGGCATGGTGATGCATGCTATCCCAGCACTCAGGAGACAGAGGGTTCCTGAAAATCAAGGTCAGCCTGGTCTACATAGAGTTCCAGGCTAACCAACACAGTGCAACAAGAAAATAAAAACAAGCAACAGAAAACACTACTACCACCACCAACAAAACACTATCTGACTTACAGCTGATATTTCAAACTATGTATCTTACTCCCACTTGGGAGAAATTAAAAAGCTGTAAATTCTCTTCATCAAAGATCCATGTTCCACTTGATGTGATGGCTTACCTACACCTATTTCTTACTTATTCTATTGCTATGAGTAGACATCATGACCAAGGCAATTCTTATAAAGAAAGCATTTAATTGGGACCTTATAGTTGTAGAGAGTTGTTCAATGATCATCATAGCAAGGAGCAGACAGGCACTGGAGCACTAGCTGGGAATTTTATAACTTGATCCGTAGGCTGTCTTGAAAAATAAAGCAAACAAACAAAAAAATTAGGAGATAAGAGCAAAACAGGGCCCCAAAAGAGTTAGGGTATACTATGACAGAGTAAATATAATATTCTACAGAACTTTTAGTGGACAAAGGTGCTTTTCAAATCTTAAAGGTGTTTCCAGAATTACCAGTAAAAGACTAAGGAATTGTATGATGCTTCCAGAGGCTGTGTATCTGGGGAGAGAATCACTATAAGTTAGCAGACTCTCTTCTCATATAGTTGTACCCTAACTCAGATTGTAAGGCTTCTGTGCTATGGAGTGCTACTGCTCTGTTTTTATATTACAGCACTGCTGTGTAGGTTTTAGCCAGCTGTCTAACTTGCCCCCCTGAGCTTTGTTTCCCCCATTTTCTTCAAAGGAGAATAATAGCAGTCTTCTTTAAGAGTACTAGGAAAATTGTATTAGATGATATATGTGATTATCTCTTATGGTTCCTAGGCAAATAAATAAATAATAGTTTAAAATGTTATGGTAGGAGCTGGAGAGATGGCCCAAAGGTTGAACCCTTGATGCTCTTGCAGAGGTCCTGGGTTCAATTCCCAGGACTCATATGGTGGCTCAGAACCATCCATTGCTCCAGTTCCAGGGGATCCAGTGCCTTCTTCTGACCACCATAGGTACCAGACATGGTATACATACAAACATACATGAAGGCAAAATACTTATACACATAAAATTATTTAAATTTCAAAGAAGAATCTTGTTATTTTATATCAGTACTTTTATGGGTTGGTTGTATACTATAAAAGACCATTTATGTTTCCAACATAGATTTCTAGTGATAGAATATGGGTTTTATGAGGATAAATTATTCCAAAAATGTGAAAACTTTTCTAACAGGATTGATTCAATACTAAGTATTTTGTGTGGTAGGTTGGTTTTGTTATGTTTTTTGAGAACAGGGTCTTACTATGCAGTCCAGTCTGGCCTCAAACTCAGGGTTCTTTTGCTTTGGTCTTTTCAGTACTCGGATGCAGAATGAGTATTAGTGTTAGAAGAAGGCTGTGTGTGTGTGTGTGTGTGTGTGTGTGTGTGTGCGTGCGTGTGCGCGCGCATGTATATATTATGTGCTCACACAGGCCAGAAAGGGGCACTGAATCCTTTGGAACTGGAGTTACAGGTGTTTGTGTGCTGCCTGGTGTGGATCTGGAATCTGAAGTTTTTTCATATGATAGAACAGCAAGCATCTTAATCCTTGAGCCATCTCCCCAGCCCAGTGTTGTTATTTAAATGACACTTGTGATTCCCTTAAGCAAAAATAAAATAAAGGAACTATTAGACTAAAAAAACAAAAGTATGTAGAGCATGGGAGGAATTCATTGCTCAGTTATAAATAAGGCAATATTTTTGTTCCATCAGACATGAGATAAGATTCTGAACAGTATTCTTTTTGTTTTTTGTTTTTGTTTTTCAAGACAGGGTTTCTCTGTGTAACAGTCCTGGCTGTCCTGAAACTTGCTCTGTAGACCAGGCTGGTCTTGAACTCACATAGATTCACCTGCTTCTGCCTCCAAGTGCTGAGATTAAAGGAATGTGTCACTACCACCACCCAGCTGGCTGAACAAGATTCTTTTAAGGAAAACTATCCTAGATCTTGGACGTCATTCCCTATTCCTCCCCCTCCCCCACTGTGGTTTTTGGAGACAGGATTTCTGTGCATAGCTTTGGAGCCTGTCCTGAAACTAGCTCTTGTAGACCAGGCTGGTCTGGAACTCACAGAGATCTGCCTGCTTCTGCCTCCCAAGTGCTGGAATTAAAAGTATGTGTCACCACTGCCCGGCTCATTCCCTATTCCTTATTCCTATTTTCTACCACAGGATCTTAGCTAAGAACTTCCAGGTAGTCTTGCTGTTATCAGAGAAACCCAAGGGCTACTTAGCATAAACTCAGTTGCTCATATCTGATTTTCTACATTGTTGCATTGAAATTTGCCTTCTGCCAGACAAAATATTAGCATTCTAAGATAATCTTCCTTTTTTACAGATACATGAATGAAAACAGAAAAAGTAATATAATATATTCAACATCATATTTGGGATTGAGTTTCAGCCCCATTTCCAGTTTTACTCTAGGGGATATTGGGAAACATATATGAAGGTTGTTGGTATCATACTGTTGGCATTGAGTCTGGACCAAAGGCTAAGAATATTTTGTAGTTTGGGCAGGTGGTGGTGGCACAAGCCTTTAATTCCAGCATTCAGGAGGCAGAGGCAGGCAGATCTCTGAGTTCGAGGCCAGCCTGGTCTACAGAGTTACTTTCAGGACAACTAGGGCTGTGCTACACAGAAAAATCTGTCTCAAAAAAAAACCAATACATAAATAAATAAAATACATAAAAACCAATAAATAAATAAATAAAATACTTAAATATGTATGTATTTATTTATTGAAAAATAGCTCACCTGGACTCCTCCCTGGACAGGCATATTTCTTTTCCCTAATTTATTATTATTTCTTAATCTAGCACAAGTTCTTTCTTTAGTTAAATTCTTTGTTTTAGGGTGGCATGTGAGCAAGTCACTTTCTCTGGAAATAACCTAGTTTTACTGGGATTTTTTGTTGCCATGTTGATGGTAAAGGCTGGGCAAGAGTCCTTCCGTTCTATCACCCGTTCCTACTACAGGGGAGCAGCTGGAGCACTGCTGGTGTACGATATCACAAGGTGAGTGAGTGGCTGGAGCGGGGAGGGGGGCCTGCCTCACTTCCCTAAAGCTGTCCTCTATCTACGGCCTCTGCCAAGGACTCAGAGTAGGGATGGCTGGTCTTTTGCACACATGTAACTTCCCTTCTCGTGTATACGGAGCAACTTTGACTTATTGAAACAGGCTCCTTACCACGATTCTAAATTGTTCTGCTATAGACGTGAAACCTTCAACCACCTGACGTCATGGTTAGAGGATGCCCGCCAGCACTCAAGCTCGAACATGGTTATAATGCTGATCGGAAATAAGAGGTAACGTTTTACCTTTATAAATACTAGTTACCAGGAGGCATCAAACTTTCTCTGTGGATATGGAATTTCTTTGTCTTGATACCCAGACTTTAATATATCATCTTAGTAAGAAAATGTTACTATGGTAAGATATGCACAAAATTTACCATTTTAACCATTTCTAGGATATTCTGAGGCCCTAACCATATTAGAATTGCTCTGCAAACCTCACCATTATCCATCTTCAGAACTTTGTCATTTTCTCAGACTTTGGAACCATTGAATTTTGTCATCTTCCTTGCCCTTGGTGTCTTCCTCACCATCTGGCAACCACCATCCTACTTTCTTTTGTTATCGTTGAAACAGGGCCTGTGTACCTTAGGCTGGCCTCAATCTCACTAGACAACCTAGGCCTGAGTGCTGGGGTTACAGGACTGTGCCGTCACACCCAGCCTCTACATTCTTTATAAATACAAGTACTCAGGATGGAGATACATGATGTGAAAGGCATAAAAGAGAAATGAATTAAAAATAAACAAATAAATACAGGTACTGTAGGCAGCTCATCAGTAGAATTACATAATGCTTGTGCTTTTATAAGTGGCTTATTTTATCTAGCAAAATGTCTTCAAGCACTGTCCATTACAGCATGATCAGAACTTCCTTTTTCAGAATTCTAGTATTTATAATGATCACGTTTCATTTACCTGTCTTTCTGTGAACCCTTGGGCTACTGCAACTTTTTGGCTATTGTGACTGTTGTTGTCCTGAACATGGGAAAAAAGATGTGTCTGTTCAAATTCCTACTTTGCGTTCTTTTGGCTGTGTAGCCAGTAAGGTGGCTGGATCATTTGGGAATTCTCTGTTTAAATGTTGAGGAGCCACCACAGTAGCAGCACCATTTTGCATTTCTACCAGAAGTTCACAAGGGTTCCACTTTACATTTTGGCAAGCCTTGTATTCCTAATTTAAATTAAAAAGAAATTATTCTTTTTAGTTTTAATATATAATTTTTAAAAATTTTATCTATAGCTCAAAAGAAATACCTGGCTGAATTAAATCTAACCAGTGCATATCTATTTGCACTGTGAGACAGAGATTCATGTTTGAGACCAATCTGGATTATATAGCAAGTTGTAGGCCAGCCTGGCCTATATATCAGAACCCTGTCTCAAAAATTAGATCGGAAGCAGTGAGATGGTTCGGTGAGTAGAGATGCCTGCCACCAACCATGACAACCTTGGTTCAGTCCCTGGGCTCCATATGGTAAAAGTTAGAGAAGTGATTCCTGAGGGTTGTCCTATTACCTCTATGGGTACACTATGATGTGAATGTACCCCCACACAGACATACAAACACACAAATAAATTGGTACATAAATATGTATTTAAAAATTCAAAGGCAGGCAATGATAGTGTATACTTTTAATCCCAGGAGGCAGAGGCAGGCAGATCTCTGAGTTTGAGGCCAGCCTGGTCTACAGAGTGAGTTCCAGGACAGCCAGGACAGGCCCCAAAGTTACACATAGAAAACCTGTCTCAGAAAACCAAAAAAGCAAACAACAGACAAATAATAAAAATTGATGAACCAGGCATTACCATGTAATCCAAAAATCTGAGAAGTGGAGACAGGTGGATCAGGATTTGAAAACTATCTTTGGTTATACAGAGAAATGGAGCTTAACTTGGGCTAGATGAGCCCAAAAACAGGCTGGAGAGATGGCTCAAGGGTTAAGAACTCTTGTTCTGCCCAAGGACCTGAGTTCTATTCCCAGCACCCATGTTAGGTGGCTCACCATTGCCCATGACTCCAGCTGTAGGGGGATGTTACACCTTCTTCTGGCCTCTATGGGTACCTGAACACAAATGGTACACATACATATAACTTTTTAAAAAAAAATCTTAAAAAATGAAATAGTTAGATCTAAATAACATATTTTAGTACTTGCTGCCAAGTCCAATGACACAATGATATAAAGTTGATCTCTGGATCATACATGTAGAAAGAAACAACTTTCTCATATGTTGCCTTTGACTTCTACCTATATGCCATGTCATAGGTATACCCACACGGGTAAACACATACACACACAATAAATAAATAAAATGTATTGAAAATAACATAACTTCTTTGGAGACAGAGCTTCAGGTGTGGCAGGCTGTCCTTGAACACACTGTGTAGTTGAAGGTAAACTTGATTTTCTAATCCTTCGGCTAGAATTACCAGGGTAAGCTCTGAATACCTGGGGATTGAACGCAGTTCTTTGTGCATATTAGTCAAGCATTCTACTAACTGAACTACATTTGAACTCCTAAATAATAATGTATTAACTATTAGAAAAGTTATAAGGCCAAATTAAAAGAAAATTGTTAGCCAGGTCTACAAGAGCTACTTCCAGGATAGCTTTCAAAGCCACAGAGAAACCCTGTCTTGAAAAAGCAAAACAAAACAAAAAACAAAAAAAAAAAAAATATTTATACTTCCTTTTATAAAAATTTCCATTCTTTCTTCATCATCATAGTGATGCATACCATAACAAGTGGATCTCTGAGTTCAAAGCCAGCCTGGTCTACACAGAGAGTTCCTGGACAGTCAGACTGTCCTTTAATGATAGTGTGATGTGGAAGCATAAACCCTTTCCTTGCCACATGGCTTTTGGTCATGGTGTTTCATTACAACAATAGTAATTCTCTGTAACGAGTACGGTTTTTCCGCCCGCTGCCAGGTCTTGTCCTGCCGCCATGCCGCCAGCCCCAAATAATGCACAGAGACTCTGTATTTGTTATTATACTGTTGGCCAGTTACTATTTTCTTATCGGCTAGCTTTGTCTTAATTATTAACCCATTTCTGTGTATTTCCATATGGTCTTACCGAGAGCGGAGGAATGGCGGTTCTGTTCTCTCTAGGCTCTCCATCTTGACCCCTCCTTACTACTTCCTATTTCCTCCTTGTCTCCTAGTCCCTCCTATTTTCCTTTCCTATTGGCCAACAGTGCTTTACTATTAACCAGTATGAGAAACATATATACATAATGGCATCTCCCATCAATTCTCTTTTGTTTGTTTTTGTTTTCAAGACAGGGTTTTTCTGTGAAATAGTTCTGGCTATCCTGGAACCCATGCTGGCCTCAAACTGACAGAGATCTTCCTGCCTCTGCCTCCTGAGTGCTGGTTAAAGATGTTCACCACCACCACCCAGCTCAAAAGTAATTCTAACAAACATCATGGACTTCTTATTGTTTTCATGATTAAAAACTAGACTCTTTGAGACAAAATTTCCCATTTGAAAAACAAAAACTAGGTCAATCTTACTGTTTTCACTAGCTTCTTATTCTAGTTTTCATGGCCTTTCCATGCTACTTTTCTTCATTTCTGGTTTTGGCTCTTCTTTCTCCTATTTCACCTAAATTGTATCCCTATCACTTTCTCTAATTCTGGAGCGCTAAGTATCCTATACATACTAGAAATGAGGCCAGAAAAAGTTAAGGTTACTGTTCTCCTTATTCCTGGCTCAGTCTCTCATGAGTTTATTCTAGGTAAAGAAAGTGTCATCACTACAGGATGAGAAATCTTTAGCCTTCTACTAAATAGCACCTCCCTTTATCATCTCTACTGTGCTGTCTGGATCCCACCTGAAAAGTCACAGGGTGGGGGTGGGGTCGTTGGCAAACACCAATACTCAGGAGGCAGAGGCAGGCAGATTTCTGTGAGTTTGTGTTCAGCCTGGTCTACAGAGTGAGCTCCAAGACAGCCAGGAACACATAGAGGAAACTCTGTCTCATAATAAAAGAACAAAAGACCAGCTGGGTGGTGGTGCACATCTTTAATCCCAGCGCTTAGGAGGCAGAAGCAAGCTGGTCTCTGAGTTGGAGAATGGCTTGGTCTACTGAGAGTTCCAGGACAGGCTCCAAAGCTACACAGAGAAATCCTGTCTTGAAAAACAAAACAACAATAACATCAACAACAACAAAATCCAAAACCCAAAACCTAAACAAACAAAAAGCATAGGATACCTGAAGTGACTGAGGTTTGCTTACTTCTGTGTAAGCCTGTTCTTTGTAACAGAGAGTAGTATTATCTTCAGCCCTTCAGAAGCTATTATGAATGTGAATCATAGAAGTCAATAAGCCCATATAAGATCTTCCTGTAGTGTTTACACCTTTGGTGCATTAATTGGCAGTTTTAAACTGTGGTGGGATCCTTTGGAACTATGGTCACCCCCTCCTCTTAAATCTTTAAAGTTTTCTCCCTTATTACTCTCTTACAGTGATCTAGAATCCCGAAGGGATGTGAAAAGAGAGGAAGGAGAGGCCTTTGCTCGGGAGCATGGCCTTATATTCATGGAAACATCAGCCAAGACAGCCTGCAATGTTGAAGAGGTACCATTACAAAGAAAATGGGGAGAGTGCTCAGAGGCTGTACTGCTGTTGTATTCTTCAGAATTCTCTTCTCCAGGGGACATGAGTAAACAAAGAAAGTATTGTGGTCAGAGTGACTGGATGTCTCCTTCCAGGGGAATTGTCCCATTTTCTTTACCCAAATTCCTAACGGTTTACTTTTGCCTTGGATAACATTATTGAGGATTAGATACCACTGTTATTTATAAATCACTTAAGTTGGGAATCCCACAGAAACTGTCCTCATTGTGATGCCAGGTGTTGACTGTATTGCCTGGCTGAGTGTATTTGTTTTATTTGCAATGGCTGCTAATCTAATACCTATGAACATCAGTACATACAGTAAGATTACATTTTTACAACTGTACTTAATGTATTTTATTGTGGTGGTGGTTTTCTTTCTTTAGATATAATCATGTTATACAGCCCAAACTACCCCAAAACATGTTGTGTAACTCAGGCTGGCCTCATATTTGCGATCCTCCTGCTTTCGTCCCTGACATATTGGGATGACCGGTACATATCACTCTATCTAGTAAATGGCTTTTAAAAGGACATCTGTGGAAATTATCCTTTTTTGTTTGTTTCTGAGACAGTTTCTCCATATGCCCCTGGCTATCCTGAACTCACTCTGTAGGCCAGACTAGCCTCAAACTCAGAGATCTGCCTGCCTCTGCCTTTTGGGTGCCACCTTTGCCTGGCTGAGGTTTTGGTTTTTTTTTTAGACAGGATCTAGATTACCTTGACTGGCCTAGAACTTGTTATGTAGACCAGGTTGGCCTCAAAATCATGGAGATCCACCTGCCTTCTGCCTCCATAGTGCTTGGATTAAAAGCATATACCACCATGCCTAGGTGAAATTTTTTGTATACTCCTTTCTAGTGTTTCTTAATTATTCTAAGGTTTCAGTTAGTTAATTTGAGATAGAGTGTTTCTGGGTAGCCCTGGCTGATCTGGATCTCCTCAGATTTGTATTTCTCTCATGTCTACATTTAAGAGTGATACATGATTTATGTCTTTCTCAGGCCTTCATTAACACAGCCAAAGAAATATATAGGAAGATCCAGCAGGGCTTATTTGATGTCCACAATGAGGTGAGAAGGGTGGGGTTGGGACTGGCAGTTACCTTGATAGGAGCTCCCTGTCATGTCAGCACTCCTGCCTGGCATCACATTAATCACAACTGCCAATTCAGACTTTTTCTCTTTGTAAGTGCAGGTGCTAAGAACCCATCTTTAGTTTCTGTTTTCACTCAAGTTTGAGCCCCATAAAACTGAAAGAGATAAGCTAGCCGTCCACAGACTAACATACTATGAGTTTTTTTTCTTCTTGATTTCAGTTTCCTACTATTCCAGAACATGAGAGAAAGATAATTCTTAATTGCTCAGGAGGGAAAACTCTGGGATAGAACAAACAAACAAAAAAAAATCATATGCTAATATGCCACTTATATTCTTTCACTTCACTTACTCTGTAAATAAGTGTCTTTGGCATATGTATGTGTTATGTGGTGTGCATGCATATATATATACATACATACATATGTTCACATGTGTGGAGCCCTAAAGTTGACAGCAGGTACTTTTACCATCACTCATAACCTTACATATTGAGGCAGGTTCCCCCACCATTTAGACTAGTCTGGTTAGCCAGTTTGCTGTAGGGATTCCCTATCTCTACCTTCCAAGGACTGAGATTGAAGGAGCAATGCCATGTCCATCTGGCGCTTAGATGGTTTCTAAGGATCTAAACTCTGGTCCTCAGGCTTACACGGCAAGTATTTCCCCAGCTCAGCTATCTCCTCAGTCCCCTTAGTTTTCCTACTCTTGCCTAATCACATCTTAATTCTGCACATAGCTATAAAATTTATGTGCAGCGGTGCACCTTGAAAACATGCACAGAGCCACCTCTACTAACTAACACTCCACCACAACCAGTCATTCTTCCACAAACATTTGGCTAGAGAACAAGATTCTTACAATGTAACTATTCCTTTATTCCTGTCCTTTCTGTCATTCACTTCAGCACTGATATAAGAATTATTCCTTTTTCTTTTGCAGGCCAATGGCATCAAGATTGGGCCCCAACAGTCGATTTCAACATCAACGGGACCAAGTTCATCTCAGCGGAACTCTTGTGATGTAGGATCTGACTCTGGCTGCTGCTGAACATCTGGCCTGAACTCTTTTTTTTTTTTTTTTTTTTTTTTTTTTTTTCTTTCCCCCCCTGGAACAGCTTCAGATCAATCAGCTTAAAGAAAGAGGTCTTACTTGCTTTGGCTGAGAGCAGCCTCTTTTCAATGTGCAATGCTTTACCCTTCACTAAAAACACCATGAGAAAGCCGGGCCCTTACTAACCTGTCCACCAGTAGGGACATGAATATTCCATATAGATCAGGGCTCTGATTTCTAAAATATTAGGATCAAAGTTGATTGTCACAGTAATTAAAAAATAAACAACTTACTAAGTATCTGTTTGCTAGGTGTGGTGGCACATACCTATAATTCCAGCACTCAGGATTTTTGGCAGGAGGATTTTCAGGAGCTCTGAAGTCAGTCTGGACTATATAAGTATTACCAGGCCGTCCATGGCTACATAGTATGATCCTGATTCAAAAAGAAAAATGAGAGAAAGGAAAAAAATCCATCTGTTATTCACTACAGTGGACGATGTTCTAATTGAGCATTTAGGACTAAGAATCTGGGTAACTTGGATGATAACTCTGTACATAGTAATTTCATTGAATTTATTTCCTTGCCTTGGAAACCTGCTTATCATTTTATAGGAGTTCCTATAGAAGCTGGGGCCCTCTGTACTATCTCATTCCTAGTTTCTTTATATAACCTTAAATATCATTCCTCATGAGACCATCACATTGGTTTTTGAGAGATCATCTCTCACAGGAACCTGGAGCTCCATGATTAGCCGAGGCTAACTGGCCTTTCTCATTGCTAGTTCCTGTTTCTTAACTACAGAATTTTGAGAGCAGCAGAGTTGGTACTGGACCAGTAGCCACATCATTTACCTAAGAAAATGTTAGCTTTTTGTTTTGTTTCGGGGACCAGTTCTAGCATTATAGTTCTCTCACCAAATTGATCTCCACTGTTTCATCATACTTCTGCCTCATGTTTTGTTTTGACTTGGTGTGTGTGTGTGTGTGTGTGTGTGTGTGTGTGTGTGTGTGTTTGTGTATGTGTGTGTGTATGTATGTTTGGGAGAGTGTGCTAGACAGGTCGAGATCACATCTAGGTTCTTAAACATGCTAAATAAGTGTTGTACCACTGAGCTATACCCTCAGAAGCCTTCTCTTTTACTTTTTTGTTTTGAGGCAAGTTGTCTAGGCTAGCCTTGAACTTGCAGGCCTTAAACTTGGAATCCTGATGCCTCAGATTTCCAGATAGCTGGGCATACTCCTAACAAAATCTATTAGACTTTTACTCTAATCAAGCTAATTGGCTTACTGAATATGACATATTTATTCCAACTTCTATACCTTTACACATGCTCTGCCCTCTAACATTATACTGGCTTTTTCTTTTCTTTCTTTCTTTTTTTCCTGGAAATTCTCCATGACTGACTTAGGGAGTTCTAAGAAGTTATTAACACTCTTAGCACTCCTATCATGGTTATTCATATGTGTATTTATTTGTATGTGCTTTACTTTGTAAACATGTTTTGTAGGGTTTTTTGGTGGGGGGTGTGAGGGGAGTCTGTCTCATGTAGGATGTAAGCTCTATCAGAGCAGGGTCCATGTCATTTCCAATCCATCGCACCATTCTTTACTGTACCCTGTGCAATTCATGATCTTGAATTTGAGTGGCATAATTTAAAACTTAAGGCTTTAGACTTTAGAAGAAACAAAGGACCTTAGAGTCTTGTCTTTGTAATTGTATTCATGTTTTCCCCATCTGCTTACCCTGGTTCTCTATTGCTCCTCTCTGCTGCTTCACTGTAACTTGCTCCCTCCATTCTGTGCAGCATACAGTAAGAATGCCTGCTACCAAGACTCAAATAAGTAGATACGTCTTCACCCACTCCTTAGAGTATGCAATACTATTTTAGCCCAATCTGCTTCACTCCTCACACCACTTTCTGGGACAGTTGCTGTCTTTTTTACTTATCTCATTTTCTTTCACAGCACTGAGGTCTCACCAAATTTTCTAAATCGTATTGTTAATGACTGTTTTACTATTAAATATATGCATGATCTAAGCTGCTATTTCGTGTGTCATTTGTGACTCTACCCTAAGTGTAAGTAGATGATATCCTCCTAGGGTATTGTATCAAAGATACCCACTTCTTACAATCGGTTAATACCAAATTCTACTCCTGGTAGTAGCAGTAAAGTCGGCATTACATCACAGGAACTTAGAAGACTACATGTGGCCATTGAAGTGATTATGCTTTTGGTGTTTTGCTTTTTAACCTTGCTCATTCCAAAAAGGTTTATCAGTTGTTGAATTTGCTTGCATTCAGCCTGTTTCCTTACCAGGCACAAAACTAAATAAAGTATATAATTTAGTACTTTCCTTTTTTCATCTCCCCTCCCCACCTTCTTTTCTCTCTACTCTTTTTAAATTAAACTATGTAGCTCAGGCTGCCCTAGAACTCCTGACCCTCCTATGTTAGCCTCCTGAGCACTGAATGTGCCCCATATCCATCAGGATTGTAATTTCTGTTGAAAAGTTTTTCTTTACTGTTTAACTTTTTTTTTTTTTTTTTTTTTTTAACAATTCACAAGGAGTAGAGAATTGGCCAAACAGTGTTTTGCCTATAGCTGTCATTCTCAGTGTGACAAAAGGGGAACCATTCTGATACTGTTGGATCGTTGGAAAAGGGGGAAAGAAACCTAATTCCCACACCCAATTCTATTATATTTTATAACCTCCAATGCTAGGTATCTTTGCCATTTTGAAAGGAAACAGAAAAGAATGTGGCTATAAATCCATGACTTGAGTCAAGTGGTCATGAGTGAATACAGAAACATCTTTCCATCTTTCCAGCCCCATGTTCTGAATGGTAATTATGAGACATTCTGGGTGTCAATTGGCTTTTGAAACCATGAACACTGGGAATCATGTAATTTATAGCAACAAATCAGTATAATTAGTAGAAATCATTGGATCAGACACTTCTTTTTATGAAGCTTATAATGACTTTCTTTGTTGGTGGGTCTTTTATTCTGTAACAGAAAATAACTAGAAGTTAATAGGCTCTTATTATAGAAACCAGTAATAATTAAGATTATACCTCTTTGAATTTGCACAAACACTATTTACACAAATACTATTATACAAATATTATTCTCATAAGTCCTAATACCTCAGATATATATAGTAATATTTTAGAGCTAGGGAAGAATTTGACAAAAGATATTCAGTATACAAGGAAAATTAGTGATTAAGTCTTATTCTTATTTTGTCCTGAAATATTACGTGACTTTTGGGGTTTTGTTTGTTGTTTGTCTGTTTGGTTTGGTTTGGGTTTTTGAGACATAGTTTCTCTGTATAGTCTTGACTGTCCTTGAATTAGCTCTATATACCAGGCTGGCCTCAAACTCACAGAGATCTACCTGCCTCTGCCTACCAAGTGCTGGGATTAAAAGTGTCAAACTCAAGAGAGACCAGCCTGCCTCTGCCTCCTGAATGCCTGGATTAAAGGTATGCACCACCACTGCCAGCCAGACCTTGATGTAATTTCTTTTTCTTTTTTTTTTTTTTTTTTTTTTTTTTGGTTTGGTTTGGTTTGGTTTTTCAAGATAGGCTTTCTCTGTGGCTTTGAAGCCTGTCCTGGAACTAGCTCTTGTAGACCAGGCTGGTCTCATACTCACAGAGATCTACTTGTCTCTGCCTTCCCAGTGCTGGGATTAAAGGTGTGTACCACTACCGCCCAGCTTGACATGACTTCTTAACTGCATACAGTTATGCTACTGTTTGGAAAGTTTCTTTAATAACTGAAAACACTGGGGGGCTGGAGAGAAGGCTCAGCAGTTGAGCTTGTACCACTTCAAAGGACCACGCATGCTAAATGGCTCATAGCCCCCTGTAACTCCAGCTCCATGGGGGTCCCACACCTCTGCCCTCATGTACACACATAGTTAAAAACATAATGGAAATAAATATTTTTTAAAGCAAGTTTTGTAGGTCCTGTCATATGGCTCAAGTACCCTAGAACTTTCCAATACTGGCATTTAAACAAACAACCCCCCCCCAAAAAAAAAACCAAACTTGTGTGGAAATGTAGTTGGCAGAACTTTAGAAAATACAGGGACACCTTTCTCAGCTCAGTTGCATCTTATGAGGAAATTTTGCTGCTTTCCAGTATAAATGGCTCTGTCAATGGTCTCTCTACTAAGATTTTTTTTTTTTTTTTTTGCCCTGTGTGTATTCTTGTATAGTTTGGAACCATCGATGAAAGGTCTTTTGGGTTTTGGTATTTGTGTATTGGTTTGGTTTTGGGTTTTTTTTTTTTTTTTTTTTTTTTTTTTTTTGTTTTGTTTTGTTTTTGGTTTTTTTTTTTGTTTTGTTTTTTTTTTTTTGAGACGTTTCTCTTTGTAGCCTAGAACTCACTTTGTAAACCAGGCTGTTTTACAAAGCTCACAGAGACCTACCTGCCTGTCTCCCAAGTGCTGAGATTAAAGGCGTGCCACACCACTGCCTGGTTTAGGTCTTTTTTATTCTTTTTCAAGAGTTATTTATTATGTATACAGTGTTCTGTCTGCATGCATGCCAGAAGAGGGCACTAGATCTCATTATAGATGGTTGTAAGCCACCACGTGGTTGCTGGGAATTGAACTCAGAACCTCTGAAAGAGCAGCCAGTGCTCTTGATCTCTGAACCATCTCTCCAGCCCAGTCTTTTGTTTTTTAAGTGGAAGTCCTCACCACTACTATTACTAAATGACTATTTTTGTGTTGCTAAAATCAGAGCAGGGGGCCATGGCTTTGGTGGCACATATCTTAAATTCCAGTACTCAGCAGGAAGAGGAGGGCAGATCTCTGGTTTTGAGGCCAATCTGGTCCAGTATAGCGAGTTCCAGACCAGTCAGGGCCACACATTGAGACCCTGTCTCAAAAAGCAACATGGAAAATCTGTAACAAAAGCATAGAGAAGCTTGTAGAGTAGCTATATAACCTGTGTCCATTGTCTGTTGATAATCCTGCTTATAAAGGATTATCCCAGGAATTGGTCACAGATGAGTCATTCGAAAAACTTGACTATGGATTTCCAGGTAAAACAGCACCATTCCTACATTTAAGTGAGAGGATACTGGGGCTTGCTTCCACTCACTTTCAACATTATACCCCGTGTTCCTCGCCAAGACTAATAGGTGTCCTGAATATGTGAAGGGAAAGTATGTTGGGGCCGGACCAAAACGGACCAACATACTCCAAAAAAGGCTTAAAAGTAATAGTAGATGATCACGGAGCCAGCCGACCCAAGATGTCCTCCTGAGACAGGTAGCAGGTGCTGTCTTGGTTTGGAGCGCCCCCAGTGGTTGGGGTCAGAGGCCAATCCCGCCAGCTTATTTCCAATCAGGCATATCTGAGGTTGCCTACGTACCCGTCTCAGCTTCGGGCCCGCCCAGCCTTCAGAGACTTCCTGGATGGCGCCCCATTCTGGCCCTACCATTGGTGGATGGAGGACGGTGGGCGGGCCCAGGGGCATGGAGGACTAGCAAGCTTGCTTGCAGCGAGGGCTGGCCGTGCTCCGCCGGAAGGCGCCTTGTTCTCCCGGACGGTGGGTTGCAACTCCGCCGGGGGAAGGAAGCTAGCTGCAGGACTGGCTCAGGTAAGCCTGCGGCACGCGCGCCTCCGCCAAGCCTCGGCGGAGTCTGGGCCGGTTATGGGTGGGCTAGCTCGTCCTCGCTCGCACCCAGGTGGGCGCACTTGTGAGCGATCGGGTGCGGGGATGGTGGGGACTGAACCACTCTCCTTTGTGAGAGGCCGGCGCTGGGGACGGTGCGGGCCGCGGGGACGTGCTGGGTCGGGCCGCGAGGAAGCGCTTTGCTGGAGCTACCGTGGAGTTTTGGAGCTTGTCATTGCGCTGCTGGGCGAGGCACACATTCGAGGCAGCTGCCTTGTTCTTCTTCCTCCACGGGAAGAAAAACTCCCCTGCTCGGTTTGGTTACTCCATACTTTGGACTCAGAAGTGTGTGGCTAGGGTTTTATTCTGTTCGGCTGCTCTTTTTTTTTTTTTTTTTTTTTTTTTTTTTTTTTTTAACCCACCTCTCTTTCCCCATCTTTTCCGTGTTTTAGTAAATGTGGGTAGAAAAGCATGGGATGAGCGTGTGGAGATCTGTTATGTACCCGATTGCTGTGGGGTTGTTGCAGAGTAGAGATGGGGAAACAGCTCAAGTCTTGTGTCTTTGACAGGTCTGCTAGTTTTCTGACTCATTATGTAAACTCTTCATTAAGAGAGGACCCCTTCCCCCTGTCTCTTAGCGAGTAGTTTTGTTTTGCTTTTTAATTCACCTGTCTATGGTGTCTCAAAAAATGTGCCTGCCATTTGCTGCAGCTGTGCATACGCAGCAGCAACTCCTCTTTAAGGGGCCGTCGTTAAAGGCTTCCCAGAAAAGGTATATAGTGGACCAGTCTTGGCAGTGAGTGAGCAAAGTGAACCCGAAGTCCGCTGTTAAACACAACGAAATTTTAAAGGATAGGCATGAGACATCTCAGACGCAAGCGAGGGAGCTGCTTTATCAATGTTCGCTGTACCCTATGGTCACATCGATGTCCACCTGATCTCCGTTCTGAGTTTATTAACTCAGATTCTCTTACTGGCTTATCCCAGTGTCGACTGAGGTCCCTTTGGGGGCACATCAGATACTAAAAAATGAGTTTCTGATTTGGATGCTCCCCCGGCTCCCCGTTTTGAAACAGTTCCTGGCTCCCTTGGAACTTGTTTTGTACACCAGGCTGGACTCGAAATTGGAAAGATTCTACTGCCTCTGCCTTTCCAGTATTAGGATTAAAGGTGTGCACCACTGGACGTGGCTGGGTTGTTGTCTTTTTTTTTTTTTTTTTTTTTTTTTTGCTTATATTGTTGGTTATGAAATTGGTAACTTTTTATAATGTTTTTTCATTTTATATGCATTTGGGTTTGCTTTTATTTTTTGCCTTAATATATGGCAGTGTGAGGGTGTTGGATCCTCTACAACTGGAATTACAGACAGTTGTGAGCTGCCATGTGGATGCTGGGAACTGAACCCGG